CTGGCTAGGGCCAAACTGTTGTACAGAATAAAATTCCTATGACCTCTGTAACATGCCATCTTCTCATCTCTTGAGGCTCTGCTAGGATGCCCTAGCACAGGTCAACTTAAACATAAGGACATCACATACTGTGGTCCTCAGTTGCTTTAGGCCAGCTCTCTCCAGTCCCTCTCACAATGCATCTTCACTCCTCCACTGTGACTGATCCCTCTGAGGCTCAGCTCACACAAAACTCTTTTGACTATACTCCTTCCTGAATGATCTACTCTTTGCTAGGAAGTGTGGATCCCTAAGGGTCACTTCTCATTTACTCTCTCAACCAAATGCCTTCTCTTAAAATTCTTCCTGACAGTATCTTTTTCAAGGAGCAGTAGCTTCCTTGAACATCTCATCCCAACTGCAGGTCTGAGGGGCCATGAGATCTTACCAGGTCCACTCACCTCACATTCAGAGGTGGAGACAGAGGCTCTACACAAGATTACCTGTTATCCTTATAAGTGACCTGCTACTGCTCCATGGATTGTTCAGTGACCATCCTCTTAGCTCTTCCCTCCAGAAGTTCCTTCAGACACCCCTATCATTCAATCCTATTTCTCATTTTGTCACTGTTTACTCCATCCTGGCACTACTATGCTCAGCCTATTTAACATTTTTTAAACAATCAAGCTGAGACCTGTGTCAGTCACTGGTGATAAATTTTACCCCCAATCAAGACAAGGGATGAAAAATTGTTACATCTTATAACTATACTGGATCAGAACAGAAATCCAGGAAAAATTCTAGAAGTCAGCAAATTACCAGCATTCCTTATGGTTTTGACCTTTAATTAAAAAAAAAAAATTACGTTGTATGTGTGTGTGTGTGCGTGTGTATGTGTTTGTATGCGTGTGAGCACATGCGCGCATGCATATGGAGGTATTTGAAAAATCAGAGGACAACTTGCAGGAGTTGGGTGTCTCTTTCTTCCGTGTGGATCTGGGGATCAAACTCAAGGCATCAGGCTTAGTGGCCAGTGCCTTTACCCACTGAGCCATCACACTGGCTCTGGTTTTGAACAGACAGACAGACAGACAGACAGACAGACACACACTGTGTCTAGTGCGTTTGCCCACTGTGAGACCACACTCTCTCTGGTTTTGTACAGACAGACAGACACACAGACAGACAGACACACACACACACACACACACACACACACACACACACACAACACACACACATTCTTCCACTGTCCATTGTCTTTAGGGAGGCTAGGCCAAAGTCTATAGAGCCATTGTGTTTTCTTAAATTTTGTGTCAAAGACGGTTTGTTCTGTGTCCCCTGATTTACCTAGGAGACACTGTTGAAGGATTTAATTACTGTCTTTTAGAGCCAACTTGAGGTTCTGCTTAAGATAAAATAAGGTGAAGGTACAAACATGGATCCATTTCCCCAGAATACATGAAACAACCTGAAGTCTCTAACACATAAGAAATAATAATAGTGATCAACTAATCTGGGTGGACAAACTGAATGGCTGGTAACTATCAACCAACCATCTTCCACTATTGTTATCAGTGGTGCTGCTGTCCTAGTTTCCAGTTCTAATTCTGCCATTATTAGGCCAGTCTACACATAACTTGTTTTTTTTGTTGTTGTTTTTTTTTTTCCGTCTTCGTTGTTTTGAGACAGGGTCTCAACTATGCAGCCCCTGGCTGTTCTGGAACTTGCTGTGTACACCAGCCTGACCTCAAAGTCACAAAGATCCACCTCTCTCTGCCTCTGCCTTCTGAGTGCTGAGATTAAAAGTATGCACCACTACACCTGGCATGGATGACATATTTTTAAAGACAAAAATATTCGGCTGGGAGTTTAGCTCATTGGTAGACTGCTTATCCAGTATAAGTGAGTCTTTGGGCTCCATTTGCACACACAAAATTATTAGTTAATTACTATTAGCAGCTATGGAGGGCCAGGAAAAACTGCAGATACTCTATCATTATAAAAGAGCCTCAGTTTAGATTGTGAGAGCAGAGGTGGTAAATGACCACAAGGAAACAATTTTCCAAAAACCTGGGAAGTTACTCATATGAACTTACAGCAATGGTAATAGCATGCACACAACCCACACAAGTTCAAGCCAGACAAAATCATAAATAGAACTGAGGAAGTGGGTAAGAAGCCCCAACCTTAGCTGAGGAGCTGTTGGCAACTGATAACTGCTGGGAGATGGAGAGTCACTTTTCTTTAAGGGAGTGATGCTAGACAGATTACCAGGCTATAGTGGATGGACACACACTGAAGGACATTTGGGGACACAAACTTGACTCAGTAGGCCTTAATATATATGAAATCTGGTACATGAAATCTGGTGGGGGCTACAAGAGGTGTCCAGGGAGGGTCTAATATGTTCTAAATATGACCAAAATACATTGTTTGAAATTCACAAAAATTCAATAAAAATAATAATTAAAAAGAGCCTCAGTTTATGAAAACAACATAGTTAGAAGTCCTTCTATCTAGGAAGCAAGCTCTAAACTCTTAAAAAAACAAAACAAAACAAAACAACAAAAACACCCTTCCCTTAAAACAAAAAGGCTAAAAAACACAAAAAACAAAACAAAACAACAACAGTGCCATTTTTTTCCAAAAATAAAGTGCACACTCTCTATTGAAGTATTCATTGTAACAAGAAAGGGCATTAAAAATGAAAGTATAAAAGGCTAGTTAAATGTTTTTATTTTTAATTGTTTTGTCTGTTGTATCATTTGAATACTATTTTTGTTGTGGTTAAAAACCCCACTTAACATGGAGCCTACCCTCTTAAAAACTTTCAAATGCACAGACCAATATTGTTAACTGCAAACAGGCTGTTCACACATGTCCAGAACCAAGTCTTCTCTGACTTCTGAAACTTTGTATCCACAGTGATTCCCATTCACCCTTCTGTCCCTTCACAGCTGCCGTTTTGCTCTTTGCTTTTATGACTTTGACTGCTTTTGGTGTCTCATCTAAGTGGCATCAGGTAGTACTTGTCCTTCTATCACTGGTTTACTGCAGTTATAGTATAATGAGCTGAGTATTTTTAAGTTGCAAAGTGAAATCTCAGCTGTTTGAAACAATAAGGTCTTGGGCTAAAGATGTCCTGATTAAAAACATATTAATACAATGTTCCCAAACTACATGCTATTTTCCCCAGATGTCTTTCAACAGGTGGAATGTGGTTCTGACTTTGGAAAGAGTTTTATGATGCTAGGGTAATCAAAGATGGTCTCTGCACCACCAGTGGTCCCCCTTCAGTTAGGTAGTTTCCTCTAATTTAAACTAATCATGAAAGCAAACAGAGTAAATCATTAGCTAGTGTCCTGCACAGGTTTATTTTCCATCCACTAAAACTGAACTTGCCTATGGTGTGTCAGTACGCTGTAAGGAGAAGATGAAATGGAAGATTCCAGGAGTGCATTTAAAAATTAGAGGCTAGGCTTAGCAAGCAAAAGGTACAGTGTTAGATTTAAAAAGGAGCTGAAAGCCAAGAGGGCCAGCAAGACAAAGCAAACCAGGTAGCCTATGGAACAAGCATCCTGAAACGCAAAGTTACTGGACACTTAATGAGCAGAGAAATCGTGAGCCAGAACAGAAGATGCTCTAAGGAGAAGGCAGGAGAGACCCTTTATGAGCTTGTGCTGATTACTTTAGAATAGGATTTGTATGAGATAAAAAGGAAAACCTCAAGGGCCAAAATAATGCAAAAATCCCCTGACTTTTCCCACTTCCAATATAGTGTTTAGGACACAAAAGTAGTCCTACAATAGGGTCATTAAAAACAACAAAAATCTAGAATTCTGGAAGTAATAAATTGAACTCTTATGAAGCTACTTCTTTTTTGTGCATTAAAAGTGCAAATATTTAAAATTTCCTATGGTTCAAGCAAAAATGGGGGCGGGGGGTTTGCTCCCTGATTCAATACTAAGAATAAAAACCTGAAGGTATGTTAATATTTTGTGGGTTCAAAGGAAGGTCTGCTATACTGGTAGAGTATTACTGTAGCAGGACCAAGGTTTGAAGTATTCTGTGCCAAATTTATGTCTCAAGTCACAAGAAACTACGGCCAGTTAGTATCCACCTAAATAACCTTAAAAGCAAAAGCTTCCATGCAAAACTACCCCTTTTCCTTTCTGTATAACCCATGACATCTTTAATCAAATTCTATTCCTAATGGCTGCCTCCATTCCTTATCCTGGATCCCTGAGCCCAGCTAATCTAAAACCTCAAGCGCGAAGCCCTCCTGTGCCCTTGAAAACCCCCTTGTGTCAATCTATTCCACTTGCTTTCTCCTGCTAATCACAGTCCTCCTTTTGTGTTCTACTTTCTCCCAACCTTGGCACAGTGAGAATCCCATCTGTCCAACGTCAGGCTCCCTCCACCCCCTTCCTTTTAATATACCAGTGATCTAATCTTCCCTGCATAGACCGGGGCGATTCTTAAACAGTCGTGGTCTTCCATGGGGAGGAGCTGACTTTTCAACGATGCATGCTAGATTTGGTCATGTCACTCTCTACATGTGACTCATCTAGATCTCAAAACCAATTTCACCTAGAAGGCTTTAATGAACAGGACTTGAATTCTGAAGTTAAGTTAATTAATTTTATTGGGGAAGTTGTGCATGTGTCTAACTTAAATATCAGAATAAAGGTATATAATTTATACTATTGGTATGTTTCCATGTGGAGATTTTCTTTTTGGCACACAAAACAATGGCAGCATCTCAGAGGTCCTTTGAAAAGTGCTGGCTTTCTGGATTTAGGAGGGGCCAGAAAGGCTCTATGGGCCTTCAATCTTTTGTGGAAATATTAAGTTTCTCACTCTCAGTCATTTTCAATCTTTGAATTTTGGGAGGTGGGGTTTAAGTTTACTAGAAACCTATTCCTCAATATTCCTGTCATCAGCAGACTGACAAAAGATTCCTTTTGAATAACATCCATCCCCATCTAGGCCAAAGCACCCACCCTGCATTTACATACCTTGAATTTGCTATTTCCACTTTGGTTCTGGCCATGGCGGCCGCCCTTTGTGCGCCTTCAATTGCTCTGTCTACCTTCTCCCTAGTTTTTGTATTTCTTATTGGTATAAGCTGCTTCCTTATTCCACGGACCAGGATATTATTTTTGTATTTTCCCTCTTCCTTGGAGCCGTCGGGGAACACGGTGCAGCCGTACCCATGCCTCTTATTATTGGCCCACTCGCCTTCATATTTCATGCCATTTGAGCGCTCACTGATGCCGAAGCCATTGCGCTTGTCACTCTTCCACTCGCCCATGTAGGTTTCTGTAGTGGTGGCATCCACGTGGTCTTCCACGGGACAAAAATCACAGTCCACGTCGCCGAAGCTGATGGTGGAGTTGGCATCACTGGAACTGATTCTGCTCATGGCTGCGTCGCTGCGGACCGAACTGCGCTTACTGGAGATAGAAGACTTGGATTCGGACTTGCGGAGTTTCATGCTGCCCAGGAGGGAGCCCCGTCGGAAGAGGCCACCCTTCTTCTTGCCCAGTTCTGCGTCTGCGTGGAAGTTGAGCACGAAGCCTCCGCGGGTGCCTGCCGGGCTGTCTGCAGCCGCTGCAACATCGTGCAGTACGCTGCCGTTGCTCTGCTCGCTGCGCAGGGATGCCAGAGAGGTGCGTAGTGGGGAACGGATCACCGTGGCCATGCCATAGGGCACACTCTGGCGCACTCCGTAGCCATGCCGCATTCCTCCAGCCCACTGGCCCTGGTAGGTACCTTCAAGAGATTGTGGAGAAGCAGAGTGTGAGCTGATGGATAGAGGGGTCACGACTGTCTGCAAGTATCTGCATACTGAGAGAACAGTGCCCCAGCAGGAAGGGCGAGGGCCAAATTCCACACACCACCCCAGAGAACCCTCGCAATACTTTTCAGCCATTTGTGGGTCTCTAACTGGAGATGTGGGCCTTATGGGTTTAATGTATAGTTTTCCAATAGTCTGACAACTTTTGCTTTTTATATAAAGGTTTACATGGGTGATACCCATGTATGAGAACCACTGTTTCATGTGTGCTGCTTCATGTTTGTGTGGGGATTGAACCTAGGCCCTTACACATCCCAGACAAATGCTCTATTACTTTTTTTCTAATACAGAAAGAGTGATCATTAGGAAACATCTTTTCCCTCCTGAAATTAATGAATCAAAAATTTCTTAGGCAGTGCCACAGCAGGCAAAATGAATTCGTGTCTTTTTTTTTTTTTTTTCTA